TATATATATATATCGTATGTATGTACATAGTCATGGGTGATACATCGGCATTTCAGCCTGCACGTCCTACTTCACATAAGCGCTTGTGAATGGAGTTCCGCTGTAGTGGCATTGCGGGACGGCGCGCATCAGGCGTTGAGCAAGCCCCCCTGGTTGGAATCCAGAAGTGTGGGCTGAAATCGGGGCTGCGGTGTTGCGCTTCTCGTAATCATCGGCCTTTGCCTCTCGTGCGCGCAGGCTTCTGACGGGGACCTATGGGACCTGGAACTAGTTACCTGACCGAAGCCCTCTCTCTCCCCACGCTCTCTCTCGCTCTCTCTGTATTTCTCTCTCGCTCTGGCTGAGTTTAGATTAGAGACTATCAACCCAGCTGAATCCTTGCAAGTGTATAGTAGAACATGTAAGTTGAGTTCCACAGTTGCTTTCCCAAATCTTCCGTTTCCCAGAGCTGTGTCAGCACTACGCAGGAACGTCTGCAGGGTCTGCGGTCTGTCAAACGAAGGGGTTAGCGTTGACGATGGGGAGGATTATATGTTTAATACTGACCTTTTCTCAACCCATCTGCAGCAGCACGGGGGATGTAACAGCGGTGGTGAACTGCTACTGTGCAGCATAGTACATGATAGTGCCGGCCGGTGATACACGTAAAAGCCATGCCAGGCATGTGAGAACATGCTGGTGGTCAACTACTGGAATGCTACTCGGACTGCTCCAAGTTTGGTCTGACCTTGCGCGAAGATACGCGCATTGTTTTCGGGATCTTAGCTTGGGATCTGGTGTTTTTGTTGCACATTTTTTTGTTCAGGCGCTCAGCTTTCCAGGATTCGACGCTTGGGCACTTTGCACGGATGGTTCGAAGCATGTACCGCAATTGTGCGATGCCAGCGTAAGCTGGCTAACTAGAATCCTGTTTCTGACAACGCAGCCACATTTCGTGAGCATGTGGCAGCATACAGTATGTTCTTCCCCGTAAGCCACTGCAATAATAGCTATGATTAGTTATAGGTAAGGTTCCAAGTGCGCAAATTGAACTTCAAGCTCGTTGGGACCACAAAACACATCAGCTGACTTGCTGTAGCTCACAAGCACCACAAGACGAAGCCTCAGGGCCTTGGGGACGTGCTGTGCCCAGGCGACGATCGGTGTCTTCGCCCTAGACAAGGCGACAGGAGCCGCAGGGGGCCTAGACTCTTCCGGACTCACTGAGATGTAGTATATTACACTGTAGTATATTATAGTATATTATAGTATATTGTAGTATATTCTGGTATATTATAATATATTAAGGCTGTCAAGACTCGCGAAGTCGGCCTCGAGGTCAGTTGCCGACGCTCCCTTTTCGATCCCAATGAGGGACGGCCAATGAAGGCCCTGACATCTTGGAGTCTTGCTCGCCTTTCCATCGAGTCCAGCAGGAATGGATATGTGAAGGTCAACTACGGGCCACAGACGTCGAGGTCGTTGTTGTGTGAGAGACCTGACTCGGCAAAAGGCGCGCCACGACGCCCATGTCAATCACTCGGAGAACGATCCGAGCGCACAGCAGGAGTCGGAAGCCCAGCTACTCAGCAGTGAAAGCTGCCAGCGGCGTGAAGCAGTGGAGCAAAAGTGAGCAGGCAATCCAGCACCGCATGTGTCGGGACGATGAGTTTCCCTTTGTGAGGAGGCAGGCGGACCCTCACTCGCATGCCGTGATCCTGGACCCCTTCTATGGTGCGGAGCCCTACTTCCTCAGATCAAAGGGAGAGCCCTCTCGGTGAGACTCCCACAGCTCTCTCGGAAAAGGGCGGATCGCCTACGTGCCGGATCTCGGACTTCCCGGCTCTCCATTGAAGCTCTGATGGGGCAAGCTTTCAAAACTGCGTGGCCTATACCCAGAACTGTATAACTAGCTACAGTGCGTGTCAGGCATGGATTTGATTCGCCAGTTCTACTACGATCCGGAGGCATGGAGTTCGAGGGGCTTGAACCCTTCATTCGGAGTCTCCCTCTCCCTCCCTCCCTCCCTCTCTCTCTCTCTCTCTCTTTCTTCCCTCTCGCTTGTTTCTGTCTCTCCTCGTGAATTTCCCTTGGGCAGCCATCAGTCTTCACAGAAGCACCCCTTTTCGGCTTGTCTCCGTGACGAAGCCTTACTTGGGCGAGTGAAGCTTGTCAGCTTGTGTGACAAACAAAAGAAGCTTGCCACACGGAGAGTTCCTGGCAAGACTCTAAGGACAGCTCTGCCAAGAACGTCAAGCCCCAAATTCCCAAAGCGTGACCTGACAAGAGACGCTCAATGGAGGCTGGTGAGCTCACTGCCGCCGGGACCATGTCTTCCGGGCCACCAGGTGCGCAGCGCAATGCGGTCAGAAGAGTGTAAAGGTTCCTTGGATCTTAAATGAAGCGCTCCCGTAAGTAAGAGGATTTGGTGCAGGTCACTTCGAGGTGTTCGAAGCGTGGGGATTGGGGTTAGGGCGAGGGTTTTGCTTGAGTCCGTGCAGCTCTGACCGTTTGACGGCTTCAGTTTATGGCTTTAGATTTAGATCGATTCCTAGTGCTTTTTCCCGGCTGCGCCCCCTTCACCTTCGTCGATGGCGTCCACAGTTGAAAAAGCTGGTCTGGGTTCCAAGTTGTTGACTTCGTTCCTCACGGCGACCCCGATTACGCTCATCAGCCTGGCGTCCTGCGTTTCTTATGCCCATCTCATGGAGCCGATTACTTTCCACAAGGTCCCCCAGCTATCAGTCTCCTTCCTGTCCTCTGCGAGCATCTTTTCCGCGGGCTTTGCAAATCTGATCCACAACCTGGCTTCGAATTGCCCTTTCCTCATCACCTGCCCGGACATCACTTTCACACTCTTCTTGCAGGCAGGGCAACGGTCCATCTCACACTTGGCCGAGGCCGGCCACTCCACAGCCTTCGTGGCGCTGCACTTGCATGCCCTTTTGCTGGGGATGGTCCTCTGGTCCTGTGGATGGTTCACGCCGCGGATCATGGCCTCGCTGCGGTATTTGCCCTACCCTGTGGTGGCCGGCTTCTTGGCCATGATCGGAGCCGCCGTGATCATGGGCGCCTTGAAGCCACTTGGCTCTCTCTATCAGAGCCTTCCCGACAGTGTCCTGAGCATTGACTCTGGGAAGGCTCATGTAGGTTGTACTACTTGTAAGACGTAGACCCTCTCGTCCTCCCAGGATTCTCTTGGGGGATCCGGACAACGAGTCCCGACATCTGGCCACGCTCATTGCAGTCTTATTCGCCAGCACTGTGCTTGGCCTCAAGCTGTATGGGGTAAGAACCAGCAACAGCGCTCCGCTTCTCATCATCGTGCAACCGGATTTGTCTTATCACCCTGTTCTTTTTTCGGTTTAGGATTCTAGGAGTCAGAGTGCCGCACGTGTTCTGAGTCCAATGGAGGATGCTCGCCAGCTTCTACGGCTGGGCCGGCATGACGGGGCACTCCAAAGTGGACCTGGCGGAGCTGGGTTGGCTCTCGCCCCCGAGCACCAACTCGGAGCCTCCTGTCGGCATCTTCCTCGGCTGGCCGCGCCCTCGGATCTGGGAAGGTAGGTGGAGAGCTGAGCCAGTACGCTGCAGGGTACCTTAGAATTTTTGAGATCAGGTCTTGGCCGGCTGATCTTCAGTATGTGATGCCGAGCTTCGATTCGTTGCTTCTGCTTCTGGTGGCGACCATCATGCGTGCCCTAACCGTCATTGCTATTGAATCTGCGCTGGCAGACGAGCCCTACAGTGTTGACGGAGACACCTGGAGGACATAAGCATAGTTCCCGGCAGCAGTCGTTTTGTGGCGCTAATTCAGGGATGCACAGCTTGACTGGACACGGAACGTCTTCGGACCAAAATTGCATCAGAAAGTGAAGGGGCCCTGCTAAAAGAATAGAAAACAGTGTGCTCAAGCCAAATAAATTACAAAGAGCACCGAGGAAATGTGGAAGCTGGGGCTTGCCACAGCCTTCGGCGGCTTGGTAGGCGGAGTTCCGATGAATGCAACTTCCACCATGACGGACCTGAATAAGGAGGGGGTTCTTGTTGAGGAGCTTAGTATATGTTGTTTAAGTTACCATAATTGGGACCTATAGGCAATACGAGATAGTATGGTTTCCTTACCACGGTAGCTCAAATCAAATTCCTTAACAAGAACCCAGAGGAGGGAGTGAAGGGCGACCCACGTTCGGCATTCTACACTGCGGTGATTATCTCCGCACTTCATCTGTTGATGTGGGGCTCTGGCTTCCCACTTGTGGACTATTTGCCCCGGTTTCTGCTGGGTGGGCTCCTGATGCAGATGGGAGGAGGAATGCTTCTAGACTGGGCAGTCCTGGTAACCCGCAGAGTCCAGTGGTCAGGGACCGTGGTAATCTGGGCGATGGTGGGGATTTCTGTTTTCTCTGACATCACCCATGGCATTGCTCTTGGGCTGGTGCTTGCGGTGGGCTTTATCTCGCTTCGCTTAACGAAATTGGAGGTCTTGAAGTATCATGTCACCGGAATCCACTTTAGATCCGGGGCGCTCTACTCCGATGCCCAGCGCAGCATCTTAAAAAAGTACGGGGACCGGACCCAGGTCGTGGGGCTAACAGGTTTTGTTTTCGAGGGTGTGGCCATAGCCTTCGCGACGTACCTCAAGGAAGTTGTACGAGGCAGCCAGGACCTCAAGACCCTGGTGATTGACTGCGCAGCCTGCCAGGGTATGAACGACTCTGCCTGCTCGCACTTCCTCAAAGTGGCGCAGATGTGTGCATCGAAAGATGTTGCTCTGGTGTTCTGTAGCCTTAGCCCTTACGACGAGATGTTGCTCTTAAGCTGGAACTTGGCTCCTTATGGTTGCCGGATTGTACCCTCGGTGTCGGAAGCCTTGGAGGATGCAGAGCATGATACACTGCGGGATTTGCTACAGCCTGTCACGCCTACGCTGCGAACCGGCGGCAACGAGCCCAAAATCCAAGCCTTAGAACGATGGCTCGGAAAGGGGACTGTCCAGGAACTGCTGGGCATCGGCGAGTTTTGCGTTTTTGAGACGAACGAGGTGATCAGCGGCCAGGATGCAATCATCGATGCCCTGCTCATCACAGTGCCGGGCTTCTCTGATGTGCAGATCGAGGTGCAGACCGGGACTCAGAACAAGCCGGCGCGGCTCCTGCGGACATCCCACGGAGCGGTCTGCCCCGCGGAGGCCCTCATTGGGAGCCACTGCCGTGGTCGATGGGTGGCAAACGATGAGACGGTGGGATTCCTTATCAAGCCTGTGCAGGCTTTAAAGAGCAGTTCCAAGCGGCATGCCTTCGCCACGCTGTCTTCGATAGCCTTACACCAGCAGATGCTGCAAACAGACCAGCTGTCGGCCCTGTATACTCTCAGCAAAGGGGGTGGCTGGCGAGGTGTCACCTTCGATGCCAGCACCTCCAAGCGGCCCGTGAAAGCGCTGGAGGCAGTACTTCTTCGGACTTCAGGGCGGGGTTCGGATCGGCGAGCTAAAAAGCGATAAGACATAAGCCACCCTGGTTACCCTGCATTTTCCTGCACATCTCGCAGCCACCCAGCATTGCAGGGATTCGGCCCGCGGCTTCGATCCAGTCATGCGAAGCGAAAGGAGTTCGCGCGGGTCGGCAGCCGCGCCACGGCGGCGGAGTCCTCCTTTGACGTGGGGAAGCTCAGCACACCACCTGCCAAGGATAGGCCAAGGGCAGCCACAAATACCGCGGACGACGAAATCCCGGTGGCCGCTGTCTTGGACTTTCAGCGTTTCGTGTCCTCCTCGGGACGGCCCAGCCTGGGTTCCGCGGAAGCGGACGAGGTTATTGACAAGGCTGAGAGCACCAGAACGCTCTCCGACAACGTGGTCTTCAACCGTTATTCAGTGAGTCAAAATCTGAATCTCATGGGATCCATGGCGACCTTGGCCGAACTGGACTTTGAGGAGCAGCCCCAGTGAGGAAAAAGCTGTTGCTCGTACCTGTAGTATCGGAGCGTCGCATCGGAGCGTCTTTAAAGACAGAGCGACCTGACATGGTCCCTCGCAGACACGAAGGTCGCAAGGCTCTGGGCCCTCGGTACATCGAGTTCCACCCGACTCTGCCGATATGCTACGTGGCGGCCGCCCCAGGACTTGCTGCTCTCCTCGATGGATGGAGTTGCAGTTGTGATGCCGCAGGGCGCATACCGCTGTGTCGAGCCTAGGTGAACGAGCTGGCATCCGACATTTCGGTTTTCGAATTCGACCACGAAGCTACGGAGGCTGCTGCCGCTTCCGGCTGGAGTCTGGAGCCGGCGTTGAACTTTCTCTCTACAGGCAATCATCAAAGCTGGGCGCCCCGGAGCGGCCCAGGCCAGGCTTTATTAGCCGCTAAGCCCAGGCTGAGCCCAAGCTGAGCCGACAGGCGCAGCCGACCTTGCGCCTGGTGCAGCCGGGATCTCGTGGAGGGGGCGGCGGAGATCTTTTCGGCCCTGGCAGCCGCAGGTCGGTTCGCACCATCCCAGATGCATTCCCAGGGGCCGCAGCCCTGGAAGCACCGATGTCCTGTCTCGGCAGGTACAAGTAAGTAGAGATGCTGACTTATCTTTGCAGGAGGCCAACACTTGCGGCCGAGTGGCCGTGCACTCCTCTGGGAATTTCGTCCTCGTCTCGCAGCTGGGCTGGAAAAAATTCCCAGCCAGAGCAAACCGGTAACCGGAGAGTGCCGGAGAGGGGGTCCTGCCAACACCGAGGAACCGAGGCCACGACAGCATCACCGTCTTCAGGGCTCTGGGCCCGGCTTCTCGCTTCCCTGAGATCCGCCTTATTGGGTTCGGCTGTTTCTGCTCATGCAGCATGCAGGTGCACTACACGCACGGCCACAGAGGCTTGTTGTCGGTTGCCGTGACGCAGCACAGAGCTCAGACGGGCGGAATCTCGGCAAGTAGCTTCCGGCCAGTGTCCGCCAAGGCACACCCGAGGAGCGACCCCCAGGCCTGGCGTGACGAAGTTGGGGCCTGGAGAGTCCACTTCATGGTCCCGGAGCAAGGCATTTTCAGTTTGACAGCTCCGGGCAGTGGCTCATTACCGCGAACCAGGACATGCGGGCACTGTGTGCAGCCACGCCACCATTTACCTTTCGTTCGAAAGGACTCCGACAACATCTCGGTCTTCAGGTTCAACCTGGCAACTGGAAAGCTTGAGTGGACGGGAAATGAGCACTGCAGGGCACGTTTGAGTTTGAGCTTGCCACCAGACTTTGTCGGCATCCGGCGCCAATTTTCCCAGTGATTTTCCGGAGCCGACCTCCCCTCTCCGGCCAGGTACGAGGTGCCGTCCCCGAACTTCGTCTGCAACGTGGTGCCGCATCAGCAGGACCCTCGGCAGCCGCCTCATGAAGTTGCTCAAGGGACTTAAGGGCCATCCATGGCCTTCTTGTGTGCATTTCACGCATGTGTACATGTTGGATGTTTTCCGAGCACTCGTGGCTCAGATAGATGGCGGGCTACGATAAAGCCTCTGCAGCTCTGTCCAAAGCCGATGAAGCGCTTCTTCGGCACGCTATCGAGTGCTCCCGCCGGGCTGTAAAGAACGGGAATCACCCGTTCGGCTGCGTAATCGTGGTACGCAAGTCGGACGGTGATGTCGTGGAGACGATCGACGCAGAGAATCGTGTTGTTACGGACAATGACCCTTCGGCCCATGCGGAGATGTGCGGTGTCCGCCTCTTAGGCACAGCAGCCGCAGCTGCACGGGAGTCCAAGCGATTTGACGGCTGCTCCTTCGAATTGTTTACAAGCACCGAGCCGTGTGTTATGTGCTGCGGTGCGATCTACTGGTCTTTTATGATCGACCGCGTGGTGTACGCATGCCCCGAGGCAGGGTTGGCCCGCCACGCTGGGGACGACTTTTTGGCATCCTGTCGCGAGACACTGGCGAAAGGCAAGCGCCCGATCAAGGTGGAGGGGCCATTCCTGGCTGAGGAGGCAGAGCAGCTGCATGCAGAGTTCTGGCCAGGCTTCTTGGCCTCACTTGGGGAGGCCCAGTGACTCAGATCGGCAGAGCTTAGCACTGACGTGCCCGCCACCCCTGCTGCCCTGCGCTTGAGAAAAGATCTAAATAATGGGACTGTACCAAGATCACATTGGATTGAAACCCGAATCCCTGCACCTTTCCGAGGTCTTCCGAGGAGGGCCCGAGATCAAGCCTCTGAGCGGTCGCCGCTCTCCGTTTGTCCACCTGTTCACCTGGCTGAATTTAGACTTTAGACGCTCCCGCAGAATTCTGCATATTGTAGGCTTCAGGACGGTCATAAGGGGAGGTGGCTTCAACAAGTGAGCAACAGTGACATCTCGCTGGCAGCTTGACAGTCACGCGCAAAAGAACAAATGTGCATACATGTCAGCTGCAGGTTGTTTACACAGTCAACCCAAATAACACGAAGTGAAGCTAGTAGGTGGGTTCCGGCACCTGCGTGGATCCAGATCGAATGGCTGCGTGCCGCAGCTTTCAAGCTCCCGTCAATGGGGCTCACCCAAGAGGTGTTTCCCGATCCCGGCGTGCCTCTGCCAGTTCTGGGCGTCAACCAGGTTCCATGCGGCAGCCTCAGAAACACCTGGAACCAGCAGAAATCTGTGGCGCAGATGTCTCTCTTTGTCTTCGTCGCTGTGAGTCTCCCGTGGTCTCTGTCTCCATCTCGCGGCAAGTTTTCCAGTGCATTTTTCAGACGATGCATCTCAACTTGCGTAGCCTGATAATTGTCCCGTGTCTCATCAGATGATGTAGCAGACGAGCAGTGTTCCATATGGAAGCTCTTCTTCGTACTTCGGCATGTCTGGATTGACTACGTGTGAATGAGGCGCACAGTTCTGCCATTCTGTCTGCCAGCACACAGTTCTGTCTTCTACCGAAGAGTGGCAGGTGGCATCTGAACATCCCCATCTTCCGACGCCTGGACAAGGCACACGCGCGCGCGTGCGCGCGCGCGCAAGCGCGCACACACACACACACACCCACACACACCCACACACACCCACACACACCCACCCACACCC